TGACCAATTTGGCTGTGAGACCAACTCATCGTCCCGCTCAGAGAAGAGCTTGAGCCTTGTCGTTGTTCTGAGGGTGGGAAGCCTCAAAGATGTCGTAGTCAAAGTCTTCGCTCTGGTCGCACACCTTCTTGAACGGTTGAGAGCTGGACGAAGCAAGCGAGTGAGAAGTGAGGAGGAAGCATGTCAGTGTATCTGCGCTGGACTTGGACGGTCGAGTAGCGCAACGAGACTCCGACTCACTTCGCTGACTCTTCCAGCTGGGCAATCTCTTCCTTGGACAGGTCCACCACTGACAAGGGCAAGGCGAGGTCAGCCTTCGTACACCTGATCAAACGATCGCGCAAGCAAAGCCACACGCGAACAAACTCACACTTCAAGTTGTTGGCGATTCTAGCGGGGGTGACGGATTTGGGCAGAGGGTTGGCACCTCGTCCCACTTGCCAAGAGATGAGGATGTTTGCACCTTGCACGTTGTGCTTCTTTGCCAGAGCGTCCACGGCTGCCAAACTGGAGTGGCTTGCACCCGTAGAGCCGAGTGGGCTGTATGCTTGAGGCAGGACGTTGACCTTGTGGCAGAAGGCAAGCAGCTCGGGTTGAGGGCAGGTGAAGGACAGCTCCACTTGGTCTAGGGGTACAAGTAGGAGGGCAGGAAACCGGGTCAGAATGACGCCCTCGTGAGCGATCTCTCTGTGCTCATTCGAGTTTGTTGTCACTCACTGGCAACCGGCTTGATCTTGGCCTCCTTCAAGAGCGCTCTGAGTCTGCGGATGTTGAAGTTGCTGACGCCAATGTTCTTTACCAGTCCAGCTTCGACCAGAGCCTCCATGTCTCTCCAGCAAGGCAGAGGGTTGTCGGAGAGGACTCGGTCCACTTGAGGCTTGCCAGTCTTTGGGTCCTTCAAGGGCTTGCGAGGCAAAGATCCATCCGCGGGAACATCTGGCTCCAGTGCGACGTTCCAGTGCATCAAGTACAAGTCGAGATAACCCACACCCAGCTTGGACAAGGTGTCCTCCACGGCTTGTCGAGCGTGCTTGTGGTGAAATTCGAACAATTTGCTGGTGATCCAGATCTCCTCACGAGGCACGCCGGAAAGCTTGATACCCTCTCCAACCTCGCCTTCATTCTGTCAAGGGTCAGCAGACGAGGCGTGATCAGCAAGAGACATGACACAGACAGACACATCTCATCTCGTCGTTGCTGGCTGAATAGGCAAGCGAGGGATACGAGGCAAGACTCGCTTCTTCAACGGACTGGCCATATGAACTTCCCCGACTGTACGGTACCGCCAAGCATGCGCACGCCACTGAGCTGCCACGCTCTCTACACACCACCTAGGCGTCCGTGCGAACAGCAAAAGGCGTGCGTGCATGCGCGCCAAACGCCGAGCCAGATCG